TTGGACAACTAATGCAAAAAACAAAACAAAACCCTATTTCTAAATATAGTTTGAAAGAGTTACTCTCCCCACTTTAGGCTACTGAGAAAGCAAGCTACAAATACCCTAGATTATCTCCCAATGAACCACCTCACAACATATTACAGAACAAGGCATGAAGAAATCATTTCTCCCTACCTGCCAATTTCCTTTCCTTGTCCATTGCTCTTACAGCAGTAGGGCTTCCTAGACTCTTAGGAAGTCTAACTGCATTAACATACAAGTATGTTTTAAAAAGACAAGGGGGTATTTCTCCTGCAAATAAAAGTTTTTAACTAAAGCAAAAACTTTCCAGTTCACCTGTCAATAAAGATGTTCAGATAAAAATCAACCATTCAAAAGGGCACTTCCAATACAACAAAAAATAGAGTTTGTGTCCTTTATTTCTCTGCTACATATAAAAGAGACCTAAGACGCTCCCCTCTCCCAGTAGGGAAGCCCCTTTTCTTTTCTTCCACTTGATTTTTCCCCATCTTAAAAATGCCAGGAATGTCAAACTTTCATCTTTACTTATTTTGTGAATGACTTCTAGTATCTCAGATGCTCTCAGACTGTACAGCTTCAACTCCCCCATCTAAGTATCTCTCCCAAATGTTAAACAGACATTAGGTGAAAACCCCAAAAAGAAACTATGGATAAAAAAATAAAAATCACCCTTATCCTACTCCTGATCTGGATTTACCTCATTGATACTTCTCTGCTTCAGAAACCTCAGTCCACTACTGGAGAATTAACAGGAATGTCTCAAGACTTAAAAAGTAAAATTTTAAAGGCAAACAGGATAGGAAAAAAAAGTCACCTCTTCAGTCTCTTATAAACATTGCTGGGGACAGGTCTGAGAAACTAAGGAGCTGGAGCTATCACCTCTTAGTTCTTGGTGGGAGAGGGAAACAGCTATTGCTGGGCCACAAAAACCAGGATGCCGCACAAGATTAAAAATCCATCAGTGAACAAGGCTTTACTGACATTTCATACAGTTAAAAAATAAAAATACAGAACACAGAAGACAGTGCCACGTTATTAAAAACAAATAAAATGGGCTCTATTTAAATGGGATTAAAATTAATTAGAAACTAAAGATCTTACAATTTTGGTTGAGGTTTCTTGGCCCTCTACCAAAATGATCGGCCTTAAAAACAACAGGGCTGCGTGACACACAAAGAAAACATGGAATCTGAAAAGACAGTGTGGGTTAGGCAGTGTCTTTGACTATAACTATCACCATATGTTCTTCTTCTAACTTTCCCAATGTCCTTAGTGCTGACTGTAGGTACTGCTGAGAGAATTCACAAGGAGGGAAAGCATAAAGCATGCCTGTGCTGTCTCTGCCCTTCGCCCCTCCCACAGGCAGGCTGATCACCCCAGCAGCCTGCTTCTGTTTCAAGTAGGAGACCAGATTCCTGAGAAGCCGACGCTGCAAGCCAGGCTCCACAACAGGGAGGGTCCCCTCAGCCCCTGCCCCTCCTTGGGTGGCTTGGGTAGCCAGAAGAACAGCATAGCCGTTGGGGCTGCCTTGTTTAATGCGGCGAGTTACTTCATCCAGTTTGGGCTGGTCAAGCCGAAGTCTCTGAGCGATTTTGAGCTGTGTTAACTTCCCACCAGATGAATGGTCTTTAAGGAGCCCATTGATGACACCTAGGTCTCCCTCCAGGATGTGCATAGACGTGGGGAAGCAGCTGTTCTTTAGCACAAGCAGCCCATTCCAAGCAAGCTGCAGTGTCTGAGCATATTCCGATAAATTCTTTAATTTTTTGGTCTCAGATTTTGGCTCCTCGTGACTTTTTGATTCCGATTCGCCAGTTCGATGATTGCGTTCGCTGTCCCTCTTTTTTGACTGGGGAGGATCGGAAGTTTCACGATGGGGTTTCTCCTCAGCCACGTGCTGATTGTTCTGAAGGGAGTTTCTCTGCTCCTTCTCCGTTCCAGACTCCGTAGTGTGATTCTCTTTGCGAGCCCTCTCTGGGCTGCGATCCGAAGCTGGCCCACTCGTGGCCTTTGTCCTGCTTCTGTCCTCATAAGGCGAATGAGTAGTCCTTCCACGGTCACTTGAAAGACTTCGGCGTTTCCGCCGCTCATCCCACAGCTTGGGCACATTGCGGTCGCTGTCGCTGCCCCATCGTTCTCCACTCCGACTTCGCACTGACCTGCTGTAGCTTTCCAGGTTATTTCTGCGTTCAGCATTTTTGGCAGGACTGGCCCAATCTGCTTCTGCAAAACTCCTGTCTCTGTCTGAGTACAGGAGATGTGGAGGAGTCCTATCTCGCACCCTTAAGTCTTGCTCTAGGCTTCTGTGCCTGCTATACCCATCAGCTAGCAGCTCATAGTGCACTGGGAGTGGTGCAGGCTGGTACTGCTGGGGGTATCTTGTCTCTTCAGCTTTGGCAAAATCCACTCTAAGCCTCCTTTCTGGTCCTCCCAAAGGGAAGCCCCTCATTTGCGCACAGGCAGCCTGGGCAGCATCCAAGCTTTCATACTGAATGTAAGCAAAGCTATCCCCCTTCACGTAGTCAATAGTCCTGATGCTACCAAAGCGGTCAAACTCCCTAGCTAGGGCAGCCAGGGACGTGCTTGGACCAAGACCCCCCACCCACAGCCGCGTAGTAGGGTTGGCTTTCCCATAACCAATTTTGATGGGGTTTCTGCCAACGACCCGACCAGACATGGCCACCTTAGCCCGATGCGCCATGTCCAAGTTTTGGAACTTGAGGAAAGCATAGGCTCCACCTTGGCCCCGGGCTGGGCGCTTGATCACCACTTCTTCAATAATGCCATATTTTTCAAAAGCGCGTCTCAGCTCCACCTCCGAGACGTTATGGTCTAAGTTGCCAATAAACAGGTTCCGGGTAGCTCTCTGGTCGTCCTCAGGCATCAAGTCTTCCTCAGCCACGATGGGGTAACTGTAAGGCCGGCCACGCTCATCGTACAGCCCATAGTAGTCCAGTGCCCGCTCCCGCTCCCGGGAAAGCCCAATAGCAGCTGCCTCCAGTGCGAAGGCGGCGGCAGCTGCGTGGGCATGCCGTGGTCTTGGCTCCCTCAACAAGGGGCTGGCAACAGGCGAAAGCGAGCGCTGCTTGTACTGGTAAGTGCCATGGATGGGTGGCAAGTAGCTGAGGGGCTCTGGCGAGGGCGCAGGCGGTGGTGTGCGGCTCCGGCGGCCGCCGCGCAGGTACACTGGCTCCACCTTGAGGGGACGGTCATACAGCAGAAGCTGGCGTGCCCGGGCGTGGCGGCGGGCATCGCGGGCATCTCCCGGGTGCCGAAAGTTGACATAGGCGACGCGGCCGAGCTCCGGCGTGTGGGACAGCTTGACGCTGATGTCACCGGCGCCCCCGCCCGAGAAGCGCTGGAAGAGGCGGAAGAGCCCGTCCTCCAGCAGCTGATCGGGCAGCGCCGCGCTCAGCCCGCTCACCAGCAGTGTCTTGTACTCGCAGGCACCAGGCGGCTCCCCTGCCAGCCCGGCCGAGGAGCCGCCCAGTGGGGCCAGCAGCAGCGACGGCGCCGCCCCCGGCGGGGGTCCTGCCAGCAGCAGCGACGGCGCCACCACGGCCCCGGGCAGCACCTTAGCTTTGGGCACCCCGAGCGCGCGGGACGAGGAGGAGGACGAGGAG